GTTTCGAATCAATATCACAGGTAAAGTTTCAAAAAAAAGAAATCTCCACAGCGATGTTCTAGTGTATCGTTATGGATCCTTCTCTGCAATGACGTTTTTTCCATTATTTTTTGGTTGCTTGTGAAACCTACAAGGTTTTAGAAATTACAGACCGTTATCATCGATATGTTTGTTGTATTTATGGCTTATTAGGAATTTCCAAATAAGTTGAAAAATACATTTACCGCTACGAAAATCAAACAATAATTCCCACTAAGAAATATGGATGTTTATTCACAGACGTTGGAATGATTCGCTAATGATCGGTAAAAGCTGTGACTTATTGACAAGCAAGGGTTGGTGATGCCAGGCCTGGGGACTTAATGTTATCTGCTGGACAGGACATTTTGATTACGACTATAAAAAGAGAAAATCCAGGATTATTATTACTAATTAGTGCTGTCATGAACATATAAACAGCGTCTTTTTACATTTGTGATCGTGCAACAAAACGATGTTACAAGCGTATGGGTATGTATTATTTTCACTTGTTGGATACCCCTTCTTAATTTGAAAGTAAATTTGATGGTGTAAGGGAATTTTCTCTGAACTTTTTTGTTGTTACTTTTTAGCCAGCGAAATGTTTTTATTTTCATTAAAAATACTTGTCATTTAAAAACTTAGTGCTGCTATTAACACCTATAGATTATTTTAATATATACTGTGCTTTATTCATTTGGAAATATTGTTTTATTTATTATCAATTGTTCGCGCAATTTACCATCACGTGCAAGTTAAGTTAAAACATCACGTTTACCAATGTTTAGTGTAAACTTTTCCACGTACATATAATTTCTAATAATTTTTTTGAAGCCCTTCGTTTTAATAATTGCAGAATTAACATTAATTTAAATGACTAGATATATGTCATAAAATAGATTATTTTCCGTATAAAAATTATATATTTAGGGAATTAGGAAGCATAAGTGTCACAATAAATCTAAGAACAAACTATGGTCTTTTGCTGTATTTTAATTCATCCATGGACAAAATTGGAAAAATAAGTTGCTTCAATTAATAAATTTTTAAATTATAAAAATGAGGGCAAAGATAAATTAAGCAAACGAGTCAATTTTGCATATTAGTCATATGTTTGTTGTATGGTAGGGTGGATACAAAACTGGTCAGTATACGAGTCCCCCACTTTCCAAGTCGTGTTCGATCAAAAGTTCTGGCTGATATTCTTCTTGTCATGTTTCTTCTTGCTTTGATGTACCTACTTTCCATTAATGCATGAAAGGAATTTTTCCTCTATCATTTGGGTGCCATCCGCTACACTAATTAGAAGACAATAGGGCATTACAGAGATCATCAAATTTCTTCGTGGGAGTGTTGTTTAACAAGTTTAGACAAACCATTTGTAAAATTTACCAGATTTTCCTGGCTTTTAGTTTTCAATTTGCTTTTCCTACGCAATTGTGTAACAAACAACCTTTTCGTGTTGAAAAGTAAACACCTTTAGGATTGCTTCACTTCATTGCATTTTAGCTAGAGATCCAACCAAAAAAATACAATTTTTTTTATATCGAAAAGTTTGTATGAGAGTACCCAAAGAAATTTTTGATTTTTTTTACTATTTTTAAAAGTTGACATACTGTAACATACCTCTATGAATGTTCATACAGGAACTCGTTACATTATAAATAGACATTTCACGAGACAATAGCAGTTCTATGGGGCAGCAAGATTAAATAAAAATGTCAAGTAGTCCAAAGGAATATAATATTTTTTTGAAGTAGAAAACCGACTGTAAATAAAGCGTATTTTAATCTTTTGAAAATGTTACTGAAATCTGAAAAAAGTATAATTGGCTTGGCCTCATTCTTGTCGACCTGCATGTTTACAAATTTGATTTGGTAAATATACATGTTATTCTTTTTTTTTTAAATATCTAACTATAATTAAAGAGACTTTCATAACTACATTCTCAAAACTTATTATTTCAGAGTATGTGAAGAAATTTGAACATTTTGTCCTCAAAAATGTTATTAACTTTGAAAATTTGCAGAATTTTTTTTAAATCATGTGTCATATGGAAAATTAGATAAATATAAAATCCTTTGCTTTTTTATTAATCGACTACTTTGAGCAAACGAATGTTATAATATGTATTAAGGTAGTCAATCATCAGGCTCTGAAAATCAGTAATTGAATAGTTGAAAATGCTCATAAACCAAAAAAAATGGGATTTGCCCAGGTTTATTCTTTAAGGTAGGATTTTCTCTGGTTTCTGACTTGAAACATTCAAAGTATATATGTCTTATATATTGAAAAGTAATTTAAAAGATCATATTTTTCTTTCCTCATCACAATTATACAATTTTAAATAGAAATGGTAAACTGCGTTTGAAAACCACACACACTTTTCTTCAAAATTATAATAGAACAATGAATTTAGTAATATTTTTTACTCAATCGAAGTCTTGGAGAAATTTTCAAGTTAGATTAATAATGAGGGACTAAACTTTCAAAATATATCAAATAAATATGATATTTCAAACAAACTAGAACTTTATTAGCTTTTAAACACTTCCCATCAAAGTGCAGATTTGAGCCAAAAATCCATAAAAATATTATTTCTCTCTTACTAAACGATAAAAACTTTTTGTTTTTGTATCATTTTGTACATTTATAGGACTACTTTATTATATGTGAAAATAAGAAAAAGTTAAATATAGGAAGCATATGAAAATAACTAATATATACTAAAAAATTAAGAAAAACAGAGAAAATTCGGATTAGCCAATGTCCAGTTAAGTTAAATTATTTATGTAAATTTGGTAACATCATGCTATAGACCCGATATATTAATATGTTTTATGCAAAAAGAACAATCATTAAACTTTTGAAATAGAAGTAGGTATCACATGATTGGCAACAATTATTTTTTATTGTTAATGTCAAGGAAAAAGTTAATGACCTTGACCTGACCTTGCCTCTAATATAAAACGGTCAAATTTAATTTCATTGATACTATCACTTACTAGTATTGTCTTCTTGATTCTGTGAAAATTTCATTAATTTTTAAATATTAGAAATATGAGAAGAATCCTACCTTAAATCAAAATATAAGATGTTAACCACACACACCTTTTTTTTTTTACTCATACGGTAACGTTAGTTTCTTCTGTTTATTTCAGTTATCTATATAATTCATGGTGTATTAAGTGATTGCTATCCTTAAAAAACATCATAAAAGTCACGTATCATTTAAGTTCATGTCAATAAACAACGGTGTCTAAAGCCAAGGGAAATTGGATTTCTTTTAATTTCCATTTTTTAAAATACTTATTAAATGAGATACAAATATGAACTTTTTCTACGAGACCGCTTTTAAGACTTCAGAAATTCTTGACTCACATTTAGATGCATAAAAGGAACATTGTTGCATAAAAAATTTCAATTTTAAGCAATATTATGATAATTTTTGAATTAAATAACAAGAGATATCCTTCTTAGCTGAGGGGCAGTTAAATTTGTTATGTAACTTCGTATTTGAAGAGATGCCAGAGTTTTAAACTATGCTTTGTCATTTACTTGTATTGTAAAATAGAGATGTTTCATTTGAAAGACTATGAAAGGACGTTCACTTTAGTAACTCCTCTAATTTCGCATTGGAACATGTGAATGTTTTTTAACCATACCAAGATATTTCTCAGTAAAATCTTATTTTACCCTTTTCATGGACTTCAAAATGGTCAAAGGACCTCTCAAGTTCTGTAGATTCCTTATTATACGCGAGGAATTAATTTCCGCGTAATTTCGCGAGAAGCGTCACTCCCGAAAAAATATTACTCGCTTTTATTTTCATGGCGCTGAAATCTACATGTATGTAAATTCTGTTGATGAACCGTCCATTTGCAAATTATAATTCTCGCAATTTGACGTTAAAGACACAGTTCGCGATAAAAAGTGCTCACGAAAAATAAGGAATCTACAGTACTTTTACCACTTTTTTGTGCGTGTTTAACTTTTGTATGTTAATCAATTAATCATAAATATTGCAAAACTTTCCTGACATACTTACAAATGTAGTTTTCCTTTAAAAATTAAAATAGTATTAAAACATTATTGAAAAGAATGCTAGTAAAAATGTCTTGAGTAAACATATGAATAAAATTAGGTAGAAAGAATAAATCATAGGTGGCGCTTCGTATGGTGGCCATATTATTTGATCTGGAAAAAAAATTATGAGACTTGCGTTGCAGATTGATACGGTTTTGTCGGGTTATTATTGTAACGTAGATGACGTCATTCGATGAAATCATAATATTTAACTAAATGGCGCATTGCAACAAGAATTAAATTATTTGTAATGGTCGTCCTTCTCATTAATCACGTTAATTTTACTATTTTAAGGAAAATGAAAAAAGATATGGATTTGTTTCCTCAAGAATTCAGCATTGTTTAAGCTCTCTGTTAATTGAATCAAGTTATCAAATACTTTCATACGTGTAATAGGATACCAAGATTTCACAGACGTGAGTCGTAGTGACGTTTAATACGCTAATCTTTCTTTTAAGATTAGAGAAAATCAAAACAAACGTAATTTCATTTACCCAGAGTATCACGGATCGATTTTTCTTCATACTTGGAAAATTATTGTTGAAATCATCGATTTTTGTAGCTTATAGAAATGAAACAATTTTAACGACCCTTATCCATACCTAAAGCCCACTGACGTGGCGCGTATCTCGAACAATTATGAATGATCAGAAATTATTGTGTAATGCTGGGTTTTTTCCCCTGGATCATTTCGCCTAAAACGACCATTATCTAGAGCCATCGAGAGAGATGATGATTTAATAATGATTAAGCAGACGACACTGATCTTTTTAGCGAACATCATATCTCTCCTTGCAGACAGCACAATGTGAAAATCGGGTATTTTGCTATTTGTAGAATCACAATGTCGGGGGAAAGTAGAACCGATTGGAGACGAATAATTCCTTAATTTAGTGTTTTGGAAATGGGATTTGCCGAGGCATTCTACCTCTATGGAAATTTTCAAGGTTGGATTTTGTCAAATCTATTTTAAAAAAAGATAAACGAAAATGTTCGAATATAAGAAAGTTTTATCTTTAGATTAAATGAGGTTACGATATATGTTTCTTAGTTTTGAATGAATTGTGGTTATATATGTGATTTCATTTAGCGCTCAATTGCTGTTTATGTGCCTTTTCAAATTTGTCAATAATTTAAATCTTTATCGATTAAATCCAAGAGTTAAATCAATACATCTATTGATCACAGTGAGGTTCGTGCATATTTTACATACACAGTACATTGTAAGTTATTACATTCTTTATTAAGGTAATCAATCGTTCCTTAAAGTTTTTTTCAACACAAGTAGTATTGACCTTTTGTAATGGTATATAATTATATTATACATAAGTACAGAAAACATTATGTTACGTCTACACAAGGGATATGACTTACGTAATAGTATAGTAATTTGCACGGTAAACCTTACATCGTCGGGCTTTGTTAACAACTTATTATTATTTCTAAAATGGATTAATATGTGCGTAACTTTTGTTGTCTTATCACGTAATGCTTAGGAAATGTGGAATCTTTGCTAAAAATAAGTTTTTAAACTGCATTTTTCAACTTTTAAAGTAGAAAGAAATGTAACATAATTTAAATGAAAGAAAATTGAAACAGTTTAGTGGATTTCTTGGTGAAGAAAACAATGAAAACAAGTGACACAAAATATCTTAAAGGTATAGCATTTATTGTTAAAATGTATGGGATTCAATATTCTAGTAGTTTTGAATGCATTTAAGTGAGTATACAATCACAACTTTATGTAAATGAACCCGTATTACATGAACATGTACTTTCAATGTATACATGTAGGTGATGATAATTTGCTATGATTACTTACAATGGTTCGTTGAAATTCTGTTTTACAGCTGGATTTGGTTTAGTGGTAGTTATTTGGACTATTGGATTAACAAAAGGTATGTTTTTTTTTCTCTTTTTGTACTCCTTCAGAAAATGTATCCCTTCAGAATTTCATTCACAGATTTGTTATTCATGCTGACACTTACTCATTATTAACAAATTAAAGTAAACAAATATCAAATCAGGGTTCTAACACATCAATTGATTAGCAGCCTTTGACATTTTACATTTATAGTGGAGTAAATATTCCCCGAGCTAAAGTGTAGTCATTAAAATGATGCATGTGATGCTTTGAATAGACTTTTTCAAATATTTGTAGTTCAGTCATAATTTCCGGAAACATACCAATCACTGCTGGAATAAAAGAAAACTTTTTTGTCGTTTTATTTTTGTAGCGATTACAACTACTTTATTTTTATATACAATGCTTACCTGTAAGTTATGAACAATTGTGTAATTTTCGAGTTGAATGATTCAGGCATCACTTTTTCAGGTGAATCTTTGGTGTATATTCCAGTAATTCAGGGACTGATGAATACGACATTTCTCTCGCCTGTTCCGAGTCAGAATGATACATTCTGTTTAATAACAACACCAGTGATGTCCGAGAACAGGAACTCTATTGTTTCGAATTCTTCAGTGTTATCAAGTGAACTTGTCCAGCATAACTTATTAACAACTTTAAATGGGTCATCAGGTATATATTATTTTTATATTATAAGTGGAAAATGGTTTCGTATAAAGTATTGAAGATATATAACTATGTATTTCCAAGATACATAACACGCTTCTTGTTCTGGGTTTCAATGTATTTTTTTTTGCATTGATTTACATGTAATATACCACTCACTGAAGATAAACAATTTTCATTAGAACATTATTGATCAATTTATAACAGAATGAGGGATATTAAAAACAAGACCTCTCTCAGTCGTATTTCTGAATCCCAAGAGTTCAAATAGCTGCAGAATTGTACATATTTCTGTTTGAGAAAATTCGGACAAACTGGAGGACTCTGGTTTGCCTGTCCGAGTTTTCCAAACGAGAAAGTCGCAACTGTAAGTTCAAATAAATGATTCAAGTAATATTTAAGAAATGGCGAGAATGGACTTATTTAAGCAGAATAGACAGAGGAAGAAATATATCACTCATTCTAGGTCCAAATGTGTCCACATATAAACACAGATGCCTTTCATTCTAGTTTCCTTGTTTTAAGGTCCCTCCAACTCATATTTTTTTTAATATGCACACATGCTATATATCAATTTATTCAGGGAGATTAACTTCATCATTTAATATGATTTTGAAAGATATTGCCCATCCCATTTTTTTAGTAAAAAACGCCAAATTTAACGTATTTCATATTTCACCTCGAATATTATTTTCATTGAAAAAATTGATTTATTTTCTAAATTAACAAATTTTTATAATTAAAATGACCTGAATTAGTATAATTCATGCTTCTATTATTTAAACTTTTAATTTTCCGTTATCAAAAATGTGAAAATTTGGGTAAAAAAGAAGATTTTTCAATTTTCCTTGATAAAGTGAAACCGTTGCCATGGCAACAAAAATATAAAAATCAACGTTTTACATATCTACCGATTCCATCAAAATCCATGAAGTTATTAATTTGATCATTTTCATTAATTTGAACTAAAAATATATGTATGTCCCCAATATTATTTCCATGGAAGCAGGGGCTATATTATGGGTTCGGAACATAAAAATCAGGCTTTTTCTACACTTTTAAAGACAACATTGATATCACCTTGTCGTGGTGAATGTTAAAGACTAAATGTTATTTTTGATATTGTTTTTAGGCATAAATTGGCCAAGAATATTCAAAATAAAACTCCTCCTGTGCTACATGATGGTCTAAAAATTTTTTCCATGGAAGAACTCTAGTATTTATGGCAATCTTTACATCTGAATATTCTGATGAAATTGTCCATGAATTATACTGCAACACCTTTAGAAGTACATGTATATGTATATAAACATACTTCAGAACATGTTGCAACTAAACCAATTAAAAGCCTATGAATTTGACCTCATGCTGATTTAGTTACTACAACATTAGTAACTTCTAGACATCTTTGTAGCAAAATATCTTTAATCAGTTATGGCTGGTCACTGTCATTACACATGTATGCCATTTTTTGAGTGAAATGTTGTAAGCATTGCATCCACGAAGCTGCTGTTTTTATAATTAAATGATTTCTTTACTTCGAAGAGTAGATATGCTATCTTTAAAGTAATGTTTGTTTGCCCTCTCTTGACTCAGGGTAAAATTATTGGGTCGGTAGGTGAGAAAATCTTCAACAACATTTTTTTAAGGGGGATAAGAGGAATAAAAAGAAAAAATAAAAAAAAATACGGCCCTGCACTGAAAAAAAGTTTTCAGTCTGGTCATTTTAGTCAGTCGGTCTTGAGAGGCCGACAACCAAACATTTTTTAAAGATGGCCTATTTCTACACTTCATGGACATTAGCTCAATCATTGGATTAGGTAGTCTGAGAATCTAAATTGAAATATCAGGCAGAACAAAATAAAGATGAATTCTAAGTGACATCAATTCATACTTTAATGAGTTTACAGAGTACTTCTGATTTCAGAGAAAAGGCAAATTCTGCAAAATGACATAACACTGTCATAAATATTTGTCAAGAACAGGGAAAAAGAAACAATGCTACAGTGATAGATATATCTCATTGATATCCATGAAATAATAATTTAAATATAACAAAATTTTCTCCTTTTTAAAATCAAAATACAGAAAAAAATTAAAAGATTATAAATGTAAACAATTTTAAAATAAACTACATGTATTTGTGAAAGATTTTAATTATAGTAGATTACTAAACTAGTCTTATCATTCCTACTAAATTAACAACCTTACAATTTCCAAGTGTCATGTTTTAAACTGTTACAGTAGATATAATTATACATGTTCACTGCAGCTTTACATGTATGTACAAAACTCATCAGTTTTCAGAAATACTTATTTGAGCATATTAGGTCCTGGTAAGAACAAAATTTAATGAATAAAAATATTAATCTTAATTGTTCGTGTATTAATTTCCTTGCAATTTTACAAACCCTTTTACGAAACTTGTTACATGTAAGTATAGACAAAAATCAACCTTCAATTAATACCTATGATGTATACATTTATTTTACTGAAAACAAATTCAAAGATGGACAAACAGAGCATGCACTGCAATCATCACATATACACATATTTTCTAAATATATGGAAAACAGCATGTATATACTAGATAGGATGTTGTTAAACATTAAATTTCCTTCTATAATCTATAGACATATAAAAATATGCATTGGGTATAACAAGTCAGACGTTCTTCTCCAAATCTCCATTGATTTTGCCATGTCTGGTACAACATCTTAGCTTGATCCATCCAACTTTCTTTAATATTCTTGAGCTGATATGGGATGACCTCTACTTTGATTGATGGCACAAATCTTTTAAGGAAACACTGAAGTACTTTTCTTTTTGGTTCTTATCTATTCCAATTAATGACCCATGATCTGAAATCATATGTGTTCATTTTTACAATAACATTTAAGGAATTGCATAAGGAATTGCACTGAGTTTCATTCACTCAATGAAATGAATAAATTTCCAATATAATCAATGAAGAATCAATATGAAATTATTGTAAAATTTACAGATTGAATTAGTGAAATACAAATGCTTGATCAAGAAAATTAATGTTCTTGTCATGCACAATCTGTATCTCTTTTTTATTAATTAGAAAATGAGATATTAATTAAAATCAAACCTCATTTAAAAAGGTAACTAGAACAATTGAATACCTGTTCCAATAATGTTACAAATATTAGGCCTAAAAAGCAAGGATTTTATTTTTCATAATTTCTTGAATGAATGCATTTTTATTTTTTGGCAATGTTGGGATATTAGTCACATCCTGACACCCTTGTACCGTTTATTCATCGTTTTTAAATCCGTAGTCAGTAGATCATTCATAACTTTCAGTAAAATGAATAGTTAAATAATTACCTGATGAAAATACTATCAACAATCAAACTGTCAACATCATTATTGGACATGGTCAAATGCACCGTGACTTTTCTTCCCTGTTCGGACTGCATATAGCATAATACTTTACAGGATACTCTCAGGTCTTTTCTTTTTTCTTTCCCATTCTCCCTTAAAAGTTTAGTGTAGTGGTGAAGCGAGAAACACACAACAGCACAATGCGTCAATGACTTTCTTCTGATCGGAATGGCCGTGCAACTTGCCATGTTCCGTATCGAAAATAAACAAGTCCTCCTTTATTGGTTCATCCACATGCATCACGCTAATCTCAAAGGCTTCTAAGATTCCTATGCTTTGATTTGTTATAAGGCTTTCTCCTGAAAACGTCCTTTGTTTTTAGTCCTAACAATAAGAAGTGACAACAAACATCAAGTATGACAGAGGAAATTCGTTACCGAGATGCATAGCATCGCTGGTTTAAATTCGCCTGTTTCAAACGCTTTGGTGATTCGCAAGAGTTATCTCCCTGTAAACGCAAACCTTACCTTAAATAGTCCCTATCGGGCTCAATACTGTAATTGTCAAGAAAACATACAGCTACATAATTAAAAAAATGTCCCTTACTTTGTCTTCAAAAGTGAATCCATATTGCTTAAAAATTACCAACTACCTACTGATATGCGGTTTGACAGTGCATGTGAACACAGCGATATTTCGTTTACCTGAAGAAAAAAAATGCCAAGCAAGAAAAGAGTAAAGCAGAATTTTTCAAAGTCATAAATTCTACTACCGGATTGGATGGAGGAGGTGGTGGGGTTTGGTCGAGGTTTTATTGTTCTTTATATTAAAAAAAAAACCCACACCGTTCGATGTTTTTAACTGTTCTTTAAAAATGCGGCGGGTATGGCGAGTCTCTGTTTTGGACACATTGAGAATAAAATTTTCGATGTAGAGACTGAGAAATTGTTTACATTCAATGCAGGTAAGGATAAACGTAGGATACCAGAAATCTTTAACAGGAAGCTGGATGTTTCTTCAGGACTAAAATTCTTATTATATGTATTTGTCATAAAAACTAGCCTGCCTTGGATAATTAAATATCACAGCCTGGATCTTCTCTTGCTTCGATAATTAATATAGCAATAAATAAGCTGCTTCTACTTCATCATCTTACTGGGGGTTTTATAAAGTAATCATGTAAAAACTAATATTGACTTCATCATGGCAAAGCAGGCGTATTATAACCAAACGCTGACATTTCGGGCAAAACAGTCAGAGCAATTACACTTTTGGGGCATCTGTAGCAAATTAAGTAGAGAGAAGTACAGGAATGACCAATCAAACTGGTGGACTCAAATGGCTTCTTGGATTCATACTTTAAATTGAATCGGTTAATAATGAAGCAATGGGGAAGAAGTCGTATACTGAAGTAAATTTTCATCCTCGTGAACTAATAATTAAAGTTTTGTATAGTATTCTTACAGAAAGGGTTTAATTCTCGAATTTTAATTTTAAACAAAATTATGCCGGCCTACTGAATTGTTTATGCGTAGGATGCTTCTGCAATAAGTACACTAAACAGACAGACAAAATCCTGCATTGAATGCCATAATGCATTTACCATCATTACCCTTTGAAAATATTTTTAATTTCTGGTACATGTATAACTTATCAGGGAAGGTAACGCTCGAGATCAAGTGTCCCATAAAAGGGTATTGTAACGGAAGTAGAGTCCGTTGGGAAAGGGTGACAATTTGTTGTGAGAATTTAAAATCATAACTGATGAAATTTGATTAATTTAATGGACATTATTGTTTGATATAATCCATGAATTTTATAAGGAACTTGCTTCGTTGTCCTTTAGTCCTATTCATTTTACTGACAATGCTTACTTAGATAATGGCCCCAGTGGAATAAAGTTTGAATATTAAATGTTATCTATTAACAACCCCCTCTTTTCATTCAAAATTAATTTTTCCGGTATTGGGAACTCCTTTCGTCTCCAGTTTTAACTCTTTCTTCCTTGCAATATTCTCTTCTAAACAATTTATGATGCTACGATGTCTAATCAGAACTATATAAGATGAAAAATTTATGGTTTTATAAACGTTGCGAGTTCTTTTTTTGCATTCTTTAAAGGTCAGATTGCAATGGAGTTACTCGGCCCTATTTCTCAAATAAATAAGACTGATTATGTATTTGCCCTTACAAATCAAAAATCATTATTTCGCATGACCTTTAGTTTAAAACCCATCCAGTCTGTATACAGCATTATCCAAGCATCATATCATCGGTTTTAAAGTTAATGGATTATTTTTTTTAACCTATGAAAATAAGGAGTGAGGGCCATTGGGAAAATGTTTAGAAAAATAACAAGCAACCCTTTATATTACTGGAAGGGAGACTTTTTTGTTTGTTTGTTTGTTTGTTTGGTTTTTTTTTTGACATTTTTTTAACATAAACTCTTGACCAAACGCCCAAAAATCCCAAAGCTGCAAAAAGTAATAGACACCATAGTTCGGTCTTTCCACAATGAGTGAAAAATTCTCGAGAGGGACGTTAAACAATAATCCACAAAAGACCCAGTACTTTTTATTCTATTTCTACCCTTTAAAATTTTCCTTTCCAAGGTGTTCGTCAGCTGGGGCCTTGTGTCATACAAACTCTTTTTAATGGTGGTTGATGGAAATTTATCCGGAAAAAAAATATTTTTCTTTCATATGGTACTGAAGGGATAAAAAATCCCCAGTTTAAGCTGGCAATTAAAAGTATAATAATCTGCGAACTTTTTCTTGCCATACACCCTGTGCAAACATTAATACTACAATAACCAAGTTATAAAGCATCTCGAAACCTTCGCCACAATTTCCTATCATGTCACTGAGAAAATGTTGACCAATATCTGAAGTGCATCAATTTACTTTTAAACTTCATTTCAAAACGAGTGAAAAGATAAATGACAGATTAACGAGAGAAAAAAATGTTTTATAGTAGGAACTAACAAATCACCGTGTGGCATGAGCAGATGCCAGGACTCATGGGCCTAATCCTGGTACTCGTCTTAAACCAATCACATTCTGTAGTTAGCGATTAAATACGATCAACCATTGCAGTGATTGAACATGTAAATACTAGTATTTACATCAAGGGTTCTTATCTCATTTCGTGATTTACTGATGTTAGTATTAGCAGAAAATCTGCGATGTAACAAGGCTTTTTTTCTGAGAGGGAAAAAAATCCATTCATTAAGCAAGAACGGAAGCAAGTGGTTCCTCGGTGTTATTGACTTTTGGCTTTTTTATCTTTTTTATCTCCCCAAATAGAATTCCTAATCTGAAGATGACGTGGTGGCAGTCTCCGCTGTCTTTCAGTTCACACAGAAGGAGGAAATAAATTCAATTGAATAGTAGATAATTACTGTATAACTATTAGATGATTACTGTATTATCAACTGTTCATCGGTTAATTAGGTCTTTTTTTCTGTGAAAATTATTGATTTTCTTCTGTTTCTTATTATTATTCTTCTTCCGCTGATTTTTATTTCGATATTATCGAAAAGACTTTTTGTTCATCGTAAAGGTCTTTAAAAGTTATGAAAAATTTGACCCAACGTTATGAACTATGACCCCTTTCGAAGTTATTGCCCCTTTCGCAAGAAATGTTTGTTATCGCTACTACTCTAAAACCGTAAACCGCAGAGACATGAAACCTTCACCGATGTCTTCGACTACTTGAGGGGACTCTGGAATCTATTCATTGCGAAAGTATTCGGTGACCCCTTCAATGAGTTATAGCCCCTGAAAGTTTTTGAATTTTACAAATAATTAAATATTTTCAAAATGAGAAGTTGTAGAGACATAAGAAGAACTGCATAAGATTCATTAACCTTTGACCTTAAAATTCATGTAAAGGTCAAAGGTCAAGGTCATTCCAAAAATGAGAAATTCAATTTTTTTAATATCTTTTTTATCTTTTCACATATACAATCCGTCTTTGCATTTTTAATATGTACTCTAGAAATTATTTCAAAGATATATTTGTCCCTTAATTGATTTTATAAGTTATTGCCCTTTGTGTGAAAAACCTTGTTATTGCTACTACTCCGAAACCATAAACCACAGAGACATGAAACCTTCACTAATGTCTTCGAAATCATTTAATCTGTTCATTGCAAAAGTATTGTGACCCCTTCAATAAGTTATAGCCCCTGAAAGTTTTTGAATTTTACAAATAATTGAATATTTTCAAAATGAAAATGATAAAAACATAAGACTAACTGCATAAATTCATTAACCTTTTACCTTAAAATTCATGTAAAGGTCAAAGGTCAAGGTCATTCCATAAATGAGAACTTAATTTTTTATATCTCTTTTGTCTTTCTACATATACTTAATGTCTTTGCATTTTTAATATGTACTCTTAAAGCTATTTCATAGATTTCATTCTTGTTCCTTAAAATTGACCTTATTAAAAGTTATTGCCCCTTGAGTGAAAAACATTGTTACTTCTACTTCTTCGAAACCTTAAAGCGCAAAGACATGAATCCTTCACTAATGTCTTCTTTAGGCACAACTTTTATGTTCCAGTATGAAAGGATCTGATGACCCCTTAAATGAGTTATTGCCCTTTAACACTTTTGCGCTTACTATTAAACCTAATTACTTTAAAACTATAAACCATTCATGCATGGGGTTAATTGCAAAATGTGACCCTTGGCCTTTGACCTTGAATATTACATGAAGGTCAAAGGTCAAGGATTTCCATTTTTTATTAAATTTTTTTTCTTTTTTTCCATCTTTTAAGCAATTTCTGTTTTTTTTAATGAAATTTAATTTTAAGGAGATAAATATTAAATGAAATTGAAATTCAAAGAAGGTGGAAAGACCTCTAATTGTTCAAGAACAATTAGTCTACTATCTAATTTGCTTTTTTTCCCAGAAAATTTTAAGTCCCAAAGTGTAACTAGATTTATATTTCATTTACGGTTCTGTAGGGTACATGTTATGAAATAATGAAGTTAAAAATAGAGAAAATGACTTTTGCCGTGAGCGTATCTGTGTACATGAAAAGTACAGTTTCATTTTTTTGTTGTTAGCGATTTTCCATTGAACTGTAGGCAGAGTTTTACATAATGATTTTAAAATAACATTTCAGGACATATTTCTCACCTTGGTTTTATTCTAACGGCTTTTAATTTGCTTTACGTTGATGTCATAATCTCTTCTGGCAAACAATAACATATGGACCAATGTTTCATCTTCCATATATTGAAATGAACGTTATGATATTATGGTTAATTTGTTCCCTTTAGAGATATATTATTTAATTATTTATATATCTTTTTTCCTTGAAGAAAAACAAAGTTCGCCAAGAAAAGACATTCTATAAATCATTTATTCTGTTCTTATTTGTGACTCTCATGATTGTCGTTGCCAAAGAAACAGCTGTTGTTCCAAAAAAAATTATCTAAAAGCTAAAATTACCAAACCTTGTAAGGTTTTAACTGCATTAATTGAGCAGAATATAATCATTATCTTGCGTGAAGATTCAAACTATGTAATTAATGAACAAGAAAATTGTTTCAAAAGCCTTGCAATTGGTATGGCGTTTCCATGTTCAACAGATAATTCCAGCATATACATAGTTCTGTTTCTTTGACACGGTTGAAAAAAACATGACACGGGCCTTGTTAACTTAACAAAGGTTTGGAGTTCTTATTCTGTCTTGTATCTCGACAACTGAAATTTAAACTTTTAATAATATTTAAAAATAAGTATTTGCAAACATAAAAGACGGAAAATTTTCAGCTAAAACTGTCCATGTCCCTTTGGGTCCTTCACTTTTTTTTCTTTTAAACGACCTCACCTCATTCCAATCAACACCTTCGCCGTGGCCACTATTTATTGGTCAGGTAGACAAAATTATCCATACTTAGTATAAAAACAAGGTCTAAACAATGGCATGAAATATGTCGGTATATGAACGATTCAAAAAAGGTGTATTAGCTTACTAGGTCATTATAAGGACCATATAATTTTCCAAATGCTGACTTTGCACAAGAAAAGTCGACGATAGAAAAGTTTAATTTATTTCATTTGACATACAGTTTAGTTGTTGGTTGAATTTTTAATGGTTAAATTTTATAATGACTTTCACCTTAAAATATTTTACCACTTTTTACGTGGATAAACATGAACGCATTATTTGAGATGTACAGTTTTATTCATTCATGATTTTATTATATATTCAGAAAAGGTATTACCGATTAAAATCTCGATAAGTTTGATAAAATATATACTTAAAGTCTGGTAAGTCAACATAAAAAAACGTTAGCTCTTAAAAGCTATTTTCATCTATCAAGCTTGAGGGATTTTAAAGTATTGAAATTTAAATAGAGATGCAGGCACATGCTGTTTATGAATATATTCGAATGAACAATTGATATACAGTAATTTCCTGTAAGAAATAGCAAAGGAAACCAAAATTTGTATTTGATGTTTTTAAAACATAAAAAAAAATGGTAAATTTTTCTTAACTTTACAGGAGGAGGTGTTTGGAAAGACAATTTCGAACAGTTGTATCTTGTTCAGAAGATGGGCGACATTACACCTTTGTATGGAATTGCAGGTGGTGTGTATAGTTACCTTGTTCCAACCAAAGTCTTCAACGAAACCAGAATATGCCTATACTCAGGAATTAGTTCTGTGACTTTTGAAATGTATGTAATAAATTCTACACTTGACCCTGCGGGATTTATATTCAATGAAAAAAAGGAGCTACAATCATTCAGCACACAATGTTTTGTTCACAACAGTACAGAATCCGATGTTATTTTAGTAAACAGCTCAAAAGCTTTTGGTGTACTGATAGTGGAATCGAAAACTCTACCAAGGTGTTGCCTCGACAGAGCGTTAGAGGCAATCCCAAATACATCATTGACAGGGACAGAGTTTGTCTTGGTCACTGAAGATCCCTCGGAAATTATAATTATGGGTAGGTATAGTTTTCAAGTAAAAATATCCTTTTGAATTATTTGGAATTTACAAGTTTTACGTAATTATTACATTTTAATCTCCTAAAGTATATTATTTGTGTTTATGTGTTATTTATCCTAGAAACTTAATGTATATATTGGTAACTGAATTTGCGTTGATTAAATATTTAATATGAAGTTTATTTAAAATACAAACAATTTTAACATGGTCTTTCCAACACATGTATTTTAAGCAGTTTCAAATGCATCTTAAAGGACGTCGCTTTAAGATGAAGTTATAAATATACACTAATGGTCCTTCCTCAAAGCAAAAATTTTTTTTATCGTTACATTACGCGTCTCCACATTGTTTAAGGTCTCGTTTGAAAGGCCCCCAAATTTCACATGTAAATATGGAGGAAAACTTTGCGATGGGGCAGGCCTTATTAATTATCTGAAGTCTTTAATTCAAGAATTAAAAAAAAAAATAACACTCTTGATTTGTGAATAATTGACGCCCATAGGTTTAAGTTCGTTCAGTTTATATTCTTATCTTAAGAATGTCTATGATTTATATGTTCTGAAATAGAACAATAAATGAATGAAGTAGATGTCTAAAAGACTTAAATTCTCCTTAAATTTGACTTTTCTTTCCAAAAATTACAGAAATATTAAAATTTTTAAAATTAGATTTATAGATGGTTATTGTATGAAAATTGTAAATCTCTTATTTATGTAAAACAAGAACATCAATCTCTTAATTTGGCTTAGCTATCTTAATTTGGCATAGCATCTCTGCACATGATTTTCAATAATTAGTAAACCTTTTTAATTTTTTGAAGTCTGACTTTATTGTCAAAAGAAATATTCAATGATAATTGGTAAAAGCTGTACTTCGTATTCTTGGTTATTTTCAGTCACAATGACATTGAATAAAGACGATACATATATTATTTGCATTATGCTTCCATCAAAACTTCCACTTTATGTACTAAATCTTGCAGAATAATATATGTTTCCAGTGGATCTGTTTGTGGTAGAAACAAGTGAAATCTATATACATGTATCAACGTATATTAAGACTAGTTGAAAAAAAAACATGTTCTAGTTTCACGTACAATACAATCCAATGAGAATTTGACCTTTTCATCTCTAAATGTACGAAGTCCGAGATGTAAGGTCTAATTTTAATTAGATTGAGAAATAGTCGTACTTGTTCTGAATACCGTTATCAACATGAAATAGGTAAAGGCATCCGCATTGATTATTATAACCGTCCCAAAAAAAACCTTTTTTGGCTTCGTTTTCAGTTATTTGCCTTGAATATTTACTTGAGTACTGTTATTATCAATCAGTTTTCTTTTCTTAAAATGAACATACAATTGAAAGAAAGTTAATTAAATGTACTCAAAATTATTGGGTTTTTTTTTCGAAAACACTACAGGGTTGAGAGTAATTCTTTCCATTTAAAGGCGAAATGTTTACCAAGGTTCATATCATCTTGTATATCATACATCATTTTATCTTCTTCGAACCGACAAAAGGTTTCCATCTAGGCTAATAGCTTTATCTTTGTCAGTGGACACAAACTTTGATAATGATTCAGAGACAAATTTTAAATGCATTGACGGCTTAATGGTGCTCTTCCACATCAATGAATGATCAACTTCAAGTCGCCAAATAGGCGTTTGAAGTGCTTTCAGAATCCATTACCTTGGAAACCGTTTCCTTCCGTTTGATTGAGAAACAAAATATTTTATCAATGGTGGACTGTCCCTTTTATTATTTCTAATCTTATGAATATTGGGTAAAAACTGGAATAGAAATATAGATTTATTCTTTTCTTTGATCTCATTATAAAAAATATTTTCATAGATAATATTATTAAGCTCTGATTTCATTTCAGGGATAGAAAGTTCGGATATCAATGTCAAAACAACGGAAGAAGAATTTAATTTCACCGTTTTATCTCACACCGTAAAGAAATTAAATGTGAGTGGAAACCTCTCTTTGCAATTAACATCGTCAAAACCTTTACAAGTTATGTGCCTCACATACATGCATAACAATGAGAATTCATCTTTTCTGAATCTCTTCACGTTGTTCCCTGTGGTACCTACTTTTTGCAATTGGCTGGAAATTTCTTCCAGCTGTTTTGACAAACCTTGTTTGATTGTTCTGGCAAAGAAAGCTAGCATTTATCCCTCAATATTGATTAACGGTTCGTTTGTAGTAGCTAAAAACTACTCATTTGGTAATTACAATGTCCAGGAGATAACAAATCTAAAGAAAGGACAGTATTTTTTACAAATCCCAGACAGTTCAGGGTTGGCAGTTTTTGTAATAAAGAGAGATCTAGGGAGATTATATCAAGTACAGCCCCTGGACAAGGACAAGTGCTCTGCCATTCATAGTTCTTTATCGATACATTCATCTACAGCAATCCATCTAGAGAACGAAAATGAAAATACGACAGACAGTACTGTAACTACTGATTCTCAAATTAATACAACATTAATACATTTTACTTCCAACCATTCAGTAACTTCCAGTAGCTCTTCTGATGAAAATTCTACATCATCGATAAAAACCTTGATACTGAATACAACTACCGAAAAAAGTGCCTTTGTAAATGTTACTTCAACTTTAGTAAATGCAACGAACATCACATTTTTGACTACTGATTCCTCCAAATATGGAAGACGTAAAACAGAAATAGAGATTGGTGGGTTAGCTTTTCAGTCTCAAACAAATCAAAATGTGTCTAAAGAAGTAGCCCCAAACTATAACATATATCTTCAAGATGTGGAAGAGGACGACAATAGCCAAGAATACATGTTAGCAGTGATTCTATCCCTTTGTGTCGCCATCTTTGCTGTCATTGCAGTGATATCGTCTTTCTTGCTAATGGAGTTTATATCGAGACAAAAACAAATAAGAAACACTAAAATTCGACCATTCGTATCGTAACTGAAATGGCAAGAGGATAATTACGTTGTGCATGCGATGACGTAGATATGTTAACTCTACAAGAATAACTGTGATATACGTTCAAAGAGAATGGTTGGCGTTTCGATTTTAACCAGTTATCTGCCAAAGATTTTCTTCATGCTTAAAAGAAATCAATTTCTCTTTTGAACTCTCTCTTTACTTACTCATCAGAGAACATGTCGTACTTGTCCTTTATCATGTTTATAATTAGTGTTGCTGTTGTATTTGTTAAGCTGAAAGCTTTCGATCGATAGGGCTAATTTTAATCCTTTTATGTACTTTGTACGTATCTATATATATAGAAAATAAAGTCCATCGTTAAAGACGAACAATTAGTTAATTGTTTAAGAATTTCATCTTATTTTTCGATTTGCATGTAAAAATAAACAACGATATGAATGATTATGAAGCAAGATTTGTAATATTGCGTGAATTATTTTAATTATCTTCTCTTTACAAAGATAATAAGCGGGTTCCCGTACACCCCTACTAATGTGTTCGGAACATTTTATTTTTCGGTGTTCTGTAAATTATAAAACCCGATGAGTTCAGAGTAGCTCTGGCGAGAGTTAGCGAGACTACAGCGAGATAGGGTAAATTATTCACGGAAATGTGGCTAGGAAGTGACTAGCACGTGGAGACATGGTAAACAGAAAAGTTATGTTGCGTTTTAGTTTTCACCACCCTATATCATTTTGTAGAAATGTACTTCAATTGATCTCTCTTGAATTCATTCAAATTTAAATTATAAGTATTCTCTATGATACAATTTTCTGTTGTCTTCAATTAAAATTTCTTTTTGGACAAATATTTTTGCATGGGAACCCGGACTATATTTTTTGGCGTCATATTAGCAAATGAGGCACCAATGTGACTTTAACCGACAAATCAGCTGAATGAGAACTGCATTGTGGGGTACTACGAATACTACAGGAATTTTACGCTTGATAAATTCCTTTATTGTACTATCGGTGAATGCAGTTGTCAGGTGGGTGTGTTCCCTGAACGTCTACTTCCTATATAAACAGTATAATTATCACACTCATGATCAAATTATGATTTTTATTATTAGTTTAATTATGTAAAAATGTTTGTCCATTTAAATGCATACGAGAAGCTGCTCGTTTTCCTTACCCTTGAAGTGCTGGTGTTCTGAACTTGACACTATCTATACAATGACAAATTAAAAATGCCCGTGACATCTTCTGTAGTTACTAATCTTTGCATTTTTCTCAAGAACTTTTTTTTAAATTTTGCACTCCATTGACATGATCTTAGATTGACCTGAACCACGAAGTTAAATTTGAAGTCCCAAAATTTTACGAAAGTCAACAGCATTAAATCTAACGACGTTTCCATTTTATATGCCACCATTCCTCACGATAAATCAAATGCCAGGCTTTTTTATATCATTGACAACTGCTATTTCTAGAATTTGAAGTCTTAAATTTACTCACCCTGTCATTGTTCATTTGCGAAATTACTTTGTTAAAAACATTTTTATTGTACAAACAAGTACTTTGAAGTCGGTATTAAAAGATGCTTGAGTTTCTGATTGATAATACCTTTTTTGGGGATCAGTTTTCCAACATACTATTGGAATTCCCATGGGTACCAATTTCATCCCGTTACTAGCATACCTATTTTTGTATTTATATTAAATGGAAGTTGTCCAAAATCTTGTACGTGAAAAGAAGAAAACACTTGCTGGGTCCTTCAACTCGACATTCAGAAATATCGACAACGTATTTTCAATTAACAATAGTTATTTCCATTCTTATGTTATGCCGGCGAGCTTGATATAAAAGTTATCACAGAGTCTGACACATCTGTTTCAAATTTAGATATTTTGCTGGTAATCTTACAACCAAGTATTATGACAAACGAAATAACTTAACTTTTCAAGTGTCAACCTCCCTTACTTATGCAACAATATACCTTCATCACCTGCACACGGAGTTTATATCTCTCAGTTGATTCGATACGCAAGAACATGCTCTACGTATGAACAATTTTTAAAACGAGGTAAGTTATTGACAAACAAGTTGCTGAAACAAGAATATCAATGGTCTCGTTTAAAGTCATCATTTTTTAAGTTCTATGGTCGATACAATGACCTTGTCACCAAACACAATTTATCATCAAGTCAAATGTTGACTGGCGTTTTTCATTCTTATTGTTAGACCGTTATTATTACACTGAATTAACGACGGATTTTTTCGTTTCTTACCAATTATGACAAGGAGCACACGGTGGGTGTGACCGGTCGGGAGGGGATGCTCACTCCTCCATGGCACCTGATCCCACCTCTGATGTTTCAGAGGCCTATGTTTGCTGTGCTCCTATCTGTATTGTTAAATGGACTTTTAAGCGTTAATAATGTTCGTTATCTCTATATCTTTCATTAAACAAGAAAGAGGGTGCATTTGATTGGAATTTGGCAGGAATTTAAGTGCATTTGAAAAGCTGTATTTAAACTTGTATATCAGTTGAAATATGCATTCTTTTTAGCAAGAGCTTTTAGGAAATAGGTAGGATTTTTTTTTTCAATTCATGAAAAATAAGTCGCTTAAATTATGGCTGGATGAGTTACTCGGTACAAACTATTACATATTAATGTTTTTTCTAAAACTCTAGGTCATCTCTGTGCGACTTTTAACGTGATTTGTGTTTATTGAAATTCTTTTATGCAAAACATTGCAGACCCAGAGACCAAAGGAGTCTGAAGTTTTTATCGAAAAAAAAAAATCAGGAAAAAATTTCCCACGCTCAAGACACCAGGATGGCAACACGTTTTTTTGGAGGACCAACCTAAACAAATTTATCTGGGTCTGGCAAGAACAATTTCGCGACTAATTCAGTGTCCGCAGTGTTTGTGCTATTTATTCAAGTTTTAAAAATCCAAATTGCTTGACGACTACGGGCCGTGTATGGCCCTTTTTCCACCTTGAAAGGACTCCATGCCACTTAACCAGAAGTGAATACCACAGTGAATATATCTCATTTAGTAATGCAGCACCATTCCATAGCATTTAGGAGTCGAGAAATATTTTTTTTTTTATTATACGCAAACCGAGCCATTAATTAGTTTTACATTGGGTTAACTCTAGAGCATAAAATCCATTCTTATGACAGAATTAATTGTGTCACAGAAGAAAGAAATCAGTACTTTTGTTCTCTTTGATGTGGTCATGCAATTTAATACACGAATAATTTTAATACTTGTAAGTTTGTGGAAAATTTTGCAGATGGATGATTTATCTGTGGAAGATAGATATTTGTGTTTTAAAAAAAAAGGCATTATGAATTTACTTTTTCCCCATTATTTCAAACACAAGGCAGGTGTGACCGGTCGGCAGAGAATGCTCACTCCTCCATGGCACCTGATCCCATCTCTGATGTTTAAGATGTTTGTATTTGCTCTGCTCCTGATTTGAATTGTACGTTAGGTTCAACAAGGTCCTACCAATCTTACTTAAAGAAAAGCATGTCTTTCAATGTGAAGTTTTTTCCCGACCTTTTCTAGCCTTTACGCAAAGTGTCAATTTTGTATAACCAGTTCCCTACAATTTCATTACTCATAATGCAACTTTTCTGTAAGTCAGTTTAAATTCTGGTCTGCATGCAATGAAACACAAAACTATCCCGCTGATAAACGTCGATTTTTCTCTCTATTCACTCAATCACTGTAAAAATAATTGTACTTAAAAAATTGATGGTGATTTGTCAAGCCACAAGAGTCGTCATTTGTCGCCATTTTAGTAATTGTTCCATTATTCAGCTTCGCAGTTTAAGGAGGTTCGTGTTATAAACATTAGACCATACATTCTTGGAAGAACTCGGAAGGTGATTTGTTATATGCTTTGGTCGATATAACGATAAAAAATAATATTGCTCTTAGGCCTTGCTCAAGAGTTGAAGTCACACATCGTAGTACCTGCAGGCACGATTAAGAATGCTTAAGACAGTAAATGCAGAGTACATGTATATGTCTCAAAACAACGGAAGAAGGGGACGTTAAGAAACAATCAATTTAACAGTCTAAAGTATTTTTGCAAATGTCAAAGGTCAAGTTGACTATAATAATGCTTATATTTTTGGAATGTTTAATGGCAAACAGTACACATGCTAAAATAGCAAAAAATACGTTCTAATATATTTAAAAAATCGCGATATTTACGTATTATCAATATTTTAAAATGGTCAAAATTGAGAACACATGGTCGGTATTAAATAAACTAGGATACTTCGCAAGAGCTACCAGTCATGCAATGATAGTATAGAAAGATATTTCCCTCCTCTGGTATCTGTATTCTCTTTTATTATTTATTGCTTCCTCTGGAATATATTATTGGTGAAATCCTTTCTTCAGATAGCAATCATGTTCAGATCCAGGATAACCTGCGGTTTTTAACATGTGTACGGCAAGTCATATTTAAAACATCTTTAGACAAGTTAAGTCTAATGATTTACATGTAAATGTCATCGTGTATAATTTTAAATTTTAATGGGTGGTAGTATTTACATATATAGCAATGTGACATAAAATGTTCTATTTCTCAATCATATCAAGGAGCACACGGCGGGAGTGACCGGTCGGCAGGGGATGCTCTCTCCTCCATGGCACCTGATACCACCTCTGATGTTTTGGATGTTTGCCCTGCTCCTATTTTATATAGTTTAATGGACGTTTGAGCTTGAGTACTGTTTGTTATCTCCATATATTACATCAGTATATAGATGGAATGCACATCTATTACATAAACACGAGTCTAATATTATCAGTAAATGAATTCTAACAACCCAAGGCAATTTGCGTGCTTAAACATGAAAGATATTGCAGTCCTTACAAAATTGTCTTTTTTGTGTCGATTTTTTAGGGAAACTGATAACTAGCCATGCATTTCATGAATGTTTTCCGCTGCAGGGTTTCTCTTGTGCTTGTTTTATGAAACCGGAAAATGTGAGGTTAATCTCCGGAGATCAAATGGTATTATCAGATGCTCACTCTACTATCGAATCGGTTGTTTGGCGTTTGAATCATGGGACAATGATCGCATTTACAGGCAATTTGTATGGCGGACGAATACTTTTGTATTAGCGAAATAATTGTTATTATGAATCCCAAGTCGGAAAGAATTGATAGCTGCATGGACAAGCAACGCAATATCAATAAGATATTGTATACTATCTAGGGGCATTAACGACATGTCGAATTCCATCACGGCAGGAAAATGTACGTAACACTGGCAGACAGGCTATGGTGCCAAATTTCCTATCCTTTTATGATCCATAATCGGACAGT